AGTTCCCCTGCCAAATGGTTACTGTCGCAGACTCAGTCAACCGTGACCATGGGACCTGTAAAGGGCCCGAAACGTCGGTTTGTTTGAAAAAACAAATATACGCGATTTAAATCCGGAAAAATAGTTTCATTCCTATGCATTGACTTACAATTATATGGACGTCGGGTCCGCGCTAAAAAGTGTCCGCACTTGTAAGGCGCTAAAATCGTATACAGAGCGCGACACTCCGCTTTAGTCTTCATTTGTTCTACGGACAGCGCGATACTGCGGTGACATAACAATTTAAATTTCGAATAGGTTGACTTGGGACATTTTTTTCGTGGTTTTTGTATTAGACCCGTCGTCCATTTATTTGTAAGTCAATGTTCCTATGTATAACAATCGCGAAAACCTAAGAACTCGATAGATTACCTATTGATTATTATTATGTATAACAAAAACACATAGGAGAATTTCGACAACACGATAACTTGACCTGTAACTCTGTTGGTTACAGCAGCGCTACGATGCAGTATGGTGGTGGGTTCAAGTCCCATCGGGTCGAAGAAAATTTTTTTGTGTTCGATATTAATATATATAGATTTTTGTCTTATTTATGGTAGTATAGGTGCGTATTTGACCTCCGTCTCACCTGATGGAATGTGTTGATGAGGTCGATGATGGAATATGCACACCTAACGCCTATTCACTCTTTATTCTTAAAAAGGCCCAAGTCATAACGTTTAGGGAATAAGTTTTCAGGCGGGGAATTCCATTCTATAGCCGTTCGCTACTAACACTATACGAAATTACGTCAGGTACAATTAAAGCATTGGGAACAACAAGGGCGTTCGGCACCCAAAGCCCGATTTGATGTTATCGCATCAAAACATGTAAAACACTAGCAAGTATCTTGTGACAAAAACTCTTGTTGCGTGCATTATAAATGTGCGTTCGAATTTCGGACACGTTACCACTTGCAGTTTGTAAAAACTTATTTTAACATAAAAAAATGTCTAAAACGAGCGACTCCATCCTCTACATGGAGCATTTAGGAGGCCAGTGGGACCTGCTGAAGATGATTCTGTCGATTCATTTCAATGCAGCAAATTTAATGAATGATTAAAAATACGTTTAACTTTTTATCAATGTAACTTTTAAATAAGACTGATTCACAATTTATTTCTTTAAATACCAATAATAAAGCGAACGCCCCATTATATTACCGGTTTGGTGCAACAAGGGCGGATAATACAAGGAAAAATAAATATTTTCAAATGTTTCTAATTGTTTTAAAATAATAATAATAATAAGTACACTCAACATAGCCCCGCACTAGGGAAACCCTGTGTCGTGGGTGCCATGGACACACACTTATTGAACCACAAACTCACGAGAGAAATAAATGTAGGCCATACAAATATTTCTCCCGGCCCGGAAATCGAACCTGGGACCTCTGCGTGGCAGTCCGGCGTGGTAACCGTTAGGCCACAGAGGCAGTTAAAACCAGAATAACATCTGATTTTTTTAGATAAATCATAGGACAAATAAATAATAAAGTATATAAGAATCATTGTATAAATATTAAAAAGATATAAGACATTAAAACTTTATTTTCAATTTTCTCGAATCTCACTTTCAATTGATACGCTCTAGTTACAACCAATGCTTCAATTTTGTATAAAAATAAAGTGTCACCCATTGCACATACCTTTTTTCTTACTTATGTTTACACTTATGTTTTTTCTTCTTCTGCTAGTCCCTAACCACTTAAGTAGTAATTACTCGCCCACTCATGTTACTTCAACCAATGTCCCCGTAACTATTCACTCGCGTTCAAGGACCTTTATTTGTAGAAATATCGACTAAACAACATTTCGATTTTTTTAAATTACGTCACAATAACGATGTGACAACTTAACGGCGAATCCGAGAGCAGGAACCTTTCTATAATAAAAATAAAAACTCTCAAGTTGACAATATCAAAAATTTGTCTATAAATTTACAGGAGCTCATCCATCCCAATCGGCGTCGCAGCAGCAGCGTCAGATTGGGCGCGTGTCAGATCTGGACCCAATGGCGGATGAGCCGCCACGACCTGCCACCAACCACCAGACACAGAACCAGGTATGTGAGAAATCATCCACATCAGGCTGAATGCAATGGAATATTGCCGATAATTTTCTAATTAGGGTTCTAAGTGATCATTATCATAATTATCATTGATAATTACCATAATTATCACTATGGTAAACTTGATAGTTTATAACATTTATTGGAGTAACAAGAGCTGCTGCTAGCAATGTCGTGCCGTGTACTTGTATCAGAGATAACCACCACGAAAGAAGAAAGAGGGGTAGGCGTATAAAAAAACATACAATATTGAAAACAGAGTAAAAATAGGAGAGAAGAATAATTATAGTAAATTCTATTCTACGATTATCGTTTGTATAATTTTGATAACAGAATACTCGCCTTCAACAGCATACTACACTTTGTACTTTTGACCGATCTTATTATAAGTAACATAGAGTTGAATGTACATTTGATCTTTAAAGCTGTCCTTCCTGTATATATGGTGTTTTTTTTTAATTAGAAACTGTAAAAGCATTAATGAAATGTCATTAATTTTAATACTTGACCATAGTACAGGCACACGCACCTGCGCGTTTGCTTCACTAAGCCTTCAAATAGGCGCTTTTAAAAGCGCTGCAGTTGCGACACTACTAATTTTCGTACAATATTTAGAAGCGCAGCTGCAGCAAGTGTTTAATTTAACTAATACTAATGGTGTCGCATCACTAAATTAATTTCTTTAATTTAGTCATGCGACACAAGTATGTGTAGAAATAAATATTAACAATGTCGTTTTTTTTTCAGCGAGTCTACATTGCAATGTACGATTACGAAGCGAACGACAGTGATGAGGTAGGTTTCAGTTTTTTACCGACTTCAAAAAAGGAAGAAGTTCTCAATTCATCTGTATTTTTTGTGTAAATGTTATGCGATTACGCCGACATTTTTGAACCTAAGTCGATGATTCTTTTGTTGGAAAGGGACTCCCTGCTCCTTTTTTGAAGTCTGTTTAAAAGGGATCGCGAAATGCTCGTCCAGACAGTAAAATTTGTTTTAACCTTTGTTACGTTGCTATTTTACATAATTCATGCTGTGTTGCTAACATCGATACGTTGCTTTACACCCTTTGTTGTGTCATTAACACGTTCCCTGTGCATGCATCATACATATATGGTGCATTTCGAGGTCCAAACGATACGTGAGTGCATAGGCATAGCCCTTTATAAATTTAAGCGTTACACAAAATTTCCACGTGGAAGCTAGATCATCTTTATTTACTTGCACATATGGACCACAAAAATTGTGACTATTAGCATGTGGTACCGGATGACTTTTTAACCAGTGTTGCCAGATTATCAATGTCAAAATAAAACACAAAAAAAGAACTAGTGCGTGCACCATTAATGTGGCACCAAGTAAGGAAGTCATACGTGCATGTATCACATGTGGGGCACTTGGGAAAATTGAGAAAATGAAGGGGGTTTATAGAAATGATTTTTTCATCCATAAATGTATTAATATATACCAATTATAACGTAACTTGCAAAATAAAAAAATTGCACGTAAGGGGTCAGTTTCTGATTTCCAGTCACACAGGGAACGTGTTAATATCTGTACGCGACTTTATGACCTTCGTTAAATTTTTTAAATTCATTTCATGAGCTTGGATTCAAGTCTATCAGTTGAAATATTAGGTAAGTAAGTGTCTGAGGGGTCAGCTGACCAGCGGGGTTTGTGGTGAGATAACGGTCTAAACAAAAAAAACTGAGAAAAACGAACGGATACATCGCGCCTGCACAACGCTGCTCCGATGAAAGAATTTCTCTTGTTCGTTCTAAGATCTAGCTTTTCATTTCAGAAAGTAATACAAAACTTCAAAACCGTAATAATAGTACAATAAAATTAGTAAAAAAAATCTACAGTATTTACAATATTCATGTTGTGTGGCTTACATCGGTGTGTGACTTGCGATCTTTGTTGCATTTCATGTTGTGTGGTTTTATCTGTACGTTGCTGTACTTGATTTGTTATTATTATTTCCAGGTATCCTTCCGCGAAGGTGATATAATCTCGAACGTGACGAGCATTGATGAAGGATGGATGACTGGTCAGGTCCTCCGCACTGGCCGCACCGGCATGCTGCCCGCCAACTACGTAGAGCTGGCTCCAGGCAATGCGCGTCTTCCTTATGCCCATTAGAACTTACGCCAAGTAATTATGTAATTATCTAACCTTTAATACACTGTCATAAAAAACCATTATCATTTAGTGGAAATGCAGTTTCTGTCTATCTCACCGGGAAGTCGAAGATCGCATTCGTAAGTCAAATTTTGCCAGAAAATCAATCTATAAAGTTAAATTGCCTAGGTAACAATTTATAAAAGCTCAGATCAGGCGCTTATAATGTATTTTAACTAGATATCTACCCCTATATCAATACCCCTGAATCAATAAAAGTTACAAGTGACTGTTTGTACACATAGCAGCACATGAAGCTACACATTTAGTTCCGTACCACTGGAGGCGATACTCGAACAAAATTATATAGCTTGATGTGCTGTAGACTGTACGATGTAATTTGAGACAAGAACAAACCGAGAAAGTAATTAGCGACGCGTGCAGTGGTTAGGCGTTTGACGTGTTTTATTCTTTTCTCTGATTAATCTACCTGTCTGTCTTAGTCATCGTCAAGCGTAATTGTGTGTTTTTCAGCTGCGTAATTTCTTCAAAGTAAATGTAGCTTCATCACCATACGCACGGCCATTCTTTGATTAGGATTCTCGGATTAGTGTTCACTATCTAATCTCAAGTTCAATTATTCAAAATTTTCAAGTATATATATTATAGTATAATTTTTAAATAATATTTCACAATAAAATAATAAAACTTTTACATTACAACTTTTACATTTCAACCAATCCTAATCATGTGGAGCGCTTCTACGTTTGTGATTGGTTATATATTGACCAATAATTTTCAAGAATCAACGTTCCAGTTTCGAACTTGAAGAATTTAATAATAGAATACTGATTGTTTTTGATATCAAAAGAAGTTTATAATTTCTTGGCAATGTTTGACGAATGAATTTGATTTCACTCTGTAATTTGCAGTGAATATCGCTTTTTGTCAACATTTAGGTGTACAAAGCGAGTTTAATACACAGCAAATTATGTGTATACATAGATAAGGTCTACAAGAACTCAGGACAAGTTGGCAAGTTTGGAAATTGTTGCTGGCAACACCTGATACAACTGAAACAAACTTCTTTGATACTTTAGATTTTTTAACGTTCTGTAAATAGGGAATATTGTTGTTCATTATAATAATAGCGTATTAATTGGATAATTTTCAGATTAGTTTTCACTATTTAATTTCGGTGGCAATTTTTATTATTTAAGTATGTATAAGATAATATTCTAGAAAATTTAAATTTAAAAAAATGTCACCGAATTTAAAGAAAGTAGCCCTAAAATTACACAACTTATGAGTCATGAACGCGGCGAGGTAGTAGTTGCCAAACGGAGATTGTCATACGAAATTATTAGTATTAAAAAAATACGTGTTATGAAATTCTTGCAGACCTACAATTTTAACTACATCTCCACTAACGACGTGTTAAAACCAGTTTAAAATTCTACTTTTGTCATTTAATAAATATGTTTCGCTTGCTTAAATTTTGACAATAAAGAAGCAATACTTATGTAAGTGCGACATACACATTGTGTAAGTAAACCATCCCCGAAGATCATGACCAGGTGTTGTACATACACCGGCACTTATGGCGGAACACAAGTAAAATCTCCAAAATAATTTACTGTTTTTGTTTTTACAAACCTAGCCGGTTATTTTACTTTTTTATTGTAGGTCTATTTTGAAAATGGAATTTTTTTTTTTTTTTAAAGTCATTCATTTGTTTTTTGTTTGATGTTGATTTTGCCTTCGTTGATTTTAAAATCGTAAACTTTAATTGAAAAATTTTATTTTTATTTATTTAAATCTTCATTTATTTAAACTATCATTTTTTTTGCAGTCGTTTCTGCTTTGTCGCAAAATAAAAAAAAATGGTTATTGGTAAATTTCAATTTTTTTTTTTCAATAAATTTTGAATAAGACTGGACTAAATCGACGTTAATAGATTTTAATTTAATTGCTATTTTATGTAACTAATTCTTATTTATTGAAATTTAAAGTACTGTTTTATATTCTCACTTTTTATACCAGCGCAAACCGGCAGACGGCAAGACAGGATATGTATATTTTATGCTATATTCCAATTGTTATAAGGTATAAATTTCAGTACTCTGAGACGCAGAGAGAAATGCGCCGTGATGCTCCGAGATTGATCTCAGAGCATCGCAATTCATACCTTATTTCAATTGAATTGGCACAAAATATACATTGAAAAATGTAATATCCTCTGTCCTGTTTTGTTCCGTTAAATGTGCCGATGTGTGTAATTGGCAATATGGATCAACTTTATGGACGTTTTCAATTGCTGCTGTTGCGGTTTACTGCCCCAGCACAAGGAGTGAATTGTTTTGTAATTTGTATTTAAGCTTTATATTTTCTGGAATGGTTTACTTAAACTTGGTATGTATAAGATCTTTGGTATATACCAGTCTCGTAACCGCGTAACTTGAAACTCTAAAGGCGCCTTCAAATTAGTCACTTGAAGAAGTCTTTGTTTCCGATTTTCATAACCCAAGTGCTTTACTTACTTTAGGATCAGAGCAACGAATGCGATGTTGCCTAATATTTATTATTTGAAATTTGTTGTATGAAACGCCACAATCAGTTATGGCTGTGGCTTATGCTGAATTAAGTCCTTTTGCGTACGCCACAACCGCACAAATGACAATACAACATTTGTAGTCGTTATATTCAGGTTTTTTGTTTTTTGTATTATTTATTTTGATTATTAATTCTTTTAGTCTTTCTTTTCTTTAGTGTTTTTTGTATCTATGTGTTGTGGCGTTGCAATAAATGTCTATTCTATTCTAATTTGAAAGCGCCTCAACTGTCTTCTACGTGTGTGTTAGACGCCTAAATAAATAGCTAACATTTCTTGAAAGGTGATTTGAACGCGAGTCGCGTATCAAATTACATGGTTGTCAAAACTCCGTTTTAAAGTTTTATCAGTGTATGCACCAATTATCTTGCACATAAAAATGTAATTTTACAATTAATGAATATTATATTATAAACTTAAAATAAGTTGTAAATTGTTTACAATTGTAGTTTTTAATCACAGTTATAGACTAATTATTGAACAAAATTTTATTAATTACTTAGAACCGAAATCTTATTTTTGCAAAATGGTAACATTGTAACGTTCTTTTTAAAATTTTGTCTCACATTCCGTCAATGCTTTACAAAGTAAGAAAGTAATAATTTCATTAATTTTTTAAATATTTTCATGTACACCGTTGAATAGCTCTAAGGAAGATACAGCTAACTCACATTTTTTGTAAATAAAATATATATTACCTATGTATAAATAACATTACATATAACGTATATAAAAATTCCATACATATCGCTTCTCTCCTGACTTAGTACCGTAGCTAATCTTTGGTAAACCTTCCACGGTAATGTATTTCCGATTTACCATAATATCACTTTTTCAACAAATGACTTAAATTCATATATAGGGTGAAAAAATATCAATGAGACATGAAGGGGTAAGGTCCCTACCCTACCTTAATAAATAACTACTACCTTAATAAATGCTTAATAGCTAATTTTACTTAAAACATTATTTTATTTTTAACCGACTTAAAAAACGCGATATTACGCCATTTAAAATTAATAGTCTTAAGCATTGAAGTTACTAATGTCTCATTGATTTTTTCCATTCTGTATAAAAAAACAGAGCTTTTTGGATACAGATTATTTTGGATACAGATTATTTTGTGTTTCAGATAATCTGGTTAGTAAGGAGAGACAGCAAAAAAATTTGAAAACGTACCACATTTGTATTGATATTTCTTCCGATTTCTCATCGTACCCTTGGTAAATAAAGCCACATGTTGATCATACGTCAAAAGTTCTTATATCACATGAAAAGCATAAAAATAACACTAACTACATGAAACAAATGTGTGAAAACCCTCCTACATAAACATAAAAAGTTATCGATTACCTCCGTGGTCGTGTGGTTTGACCGGTTTATCATAGTGTCTCATCTCTGAAGTCCCGGGATCTACCCCAGGCCGGGTCAGTAGAAAACTAACTTTTCTATATTATCTCGGGTCTGGGCGTTTGTGGTACCGTCGTTGTTTCCGATTTCCACAATACAAGTGCTTTAGTTACTTACTTTGAAATCAAGGGTTCAAATAAATAACACTCGGCCATAGCAAAAGACAATGTCAATGAAGCTTCATTCGGGTCATGCGTATTTCAATTTAGTCGAATATTACTTATTTGACAGTAATTGTTTCTGACGAATGTCTGACAATACACGATACGATATCGGAGTATACGCCCTGAGCAACGTGTATGATGTTGTCTAATATTTATTTATGACTAAATTCTTTCGTAGAAAGTAAAGTATCTGTAAAAATCCCTACTGAAAAGTTATCATTTTGGAGTAGTGACCTTATTACACCAAGGGTGCGACATATCATTGTTATTTCTTAAAAAATAATTAATGCGATAATAATAATCTAAAGTATTCTTTTTGAATATCTGTTATCCAATTTTGATTGCATTTTTTTGGCCATTCCAATATTTTTACGCTTCAAATTTACGCCCTAGGGCGGTATTATTTTGTTTCTTACAATAAAAGATTTTGTTTGAAAGAAAAAATATTTTTCCTGCACTTACGAGGTACGGCCTAAAACTTGTTTGTTTCCAATGTACCTAAACATATACATATGGCTTGTAAATAAATATAGTATATAAGGTTATACAGGGTGTAAATTTGAGACGGGGCAGCAAGGCCAGCCACCTTCATCGTTGTAGTTACAGGAAAACGGTTCTAGAAGACTATCCATGAATTTTGAAGATATTTTGACTGGCATTCCCAGATTTAGGAAAACTGGTACAGTCAGCAAGATAAAAGGCAATTTTCACAAAACTTTTTTTATGCCATTCGATCCGGTCTCTTTTAAGGATCAATAGTCTCTATGGGACCAACTGAGGTAAGAGTACTCGAAATGTCAGAAATCGCAAAAAACTTTTTACCATACATTTTGTTACTAGAACTGTTTATGTGTTTGTGGTAGAACTGTTTTCCTGTAACTAAAACGATTAAGGTGGCTGGCCTTGCTGCCCCGTCTCAAATTTACACCCTGTATAGGATCACTTTTTATATGAACTTTTATGAATATAATTTTTTTATTAAGGGGCGGATAAGGAAGTCCTTATTTATGCAGAAAATGCATAATGTTTTTAAATGTATAATTTTAGGAATCTTATCTATTTTATTTTATCACAAAAAAAATTTAGGGTTTCTCAATTATCCCTAAAAAAATTTCTGTAAGTTAGTTTCTCTTTTAGGCAAACATTTTCCATCCACGACCTAATCGTCACTATCAAGTGATATCGTTTTATTTGAACACTTGCACCTGATCGATAAATAAAAGTTATTTATAGCTAACCGTTTTTACTTTTCGACCATAAAAGAGTTGAAATATAAAACTTCAGTTTTAAGTAATTTATTAGTAGGGTTAGCACAACAAGAAGCGACTTGCGCGAGAGCGACATAAAGCGCGGGATCTCTATGCAAGAATAGCTTTATGTCCCTGTCGCGCCTTGTTATGCTAACTCTACAAGAATTACATTCCCTTGTAAAATGTGACAATTCTTATGTTATTTTTTATTTTTAACAAACTAAAACTAATTTTAATTTTGCAATTTTTTTTTTTTTCAAATTAAATCCACTGGCTGTTCCGGGAATACTAAATTTCATATTTTTTTGAAAACTAAAGATTGACAATTTAGGTATATCAAGTTTCGACATTGGTCTAATTTGGGAGGACAGTCCTGCCATCGCGTTCCATATAAAAGTAAAATTTAAAATCTTT